AAAATAGTTTAAACAGCTGTTTAAGAAGCTGCCCATCCCATATTATTCAGAACATTAACTTTCTGAATAATACAGAGCAATTCTCTTTCTTTATTATAACTTTCTGTCTCCATATTTACTATATAAGAAGTGTATTTCTATTCTTTTCTTTAAAATATTGTAACAAATATACTTAAATTTAAGTAATGCCTAGCAGTTATGTTGTTTTGGATCACTGTAAATCAATCAATCAATTTATTATTATAGTCTTAGACCAGAAACAAATAAAAGCACTCAGTATATATACACTTAAGAATTCTAGTATAAAATAATAAATGACAACTAAATCTATAATAAAACCCAGCGTCCATTATACATGGTCTGACTATACAATAGTTGCAATCCACTGTTTTACCCACAACATATCTTAAAAAACTGCAATACTCTCTTGGAAATAACAGGATGAAATCTTGACTGCTAGTACAGTTGTTATAATAGCTTATGAACATTGCATTTGGTTAATAATGAAGAAAAGATGCCAAATATCAGAAACATCACGAGCAGATTAGAGTTATGGTGCTAAAGAAAACTGTTGGGCATACTCCTCTCTCCAAATGCAGAACATCATAACCTAAATAAACCTTTTACATGACTTTTCAGCATTACTTATTAATGTAAAACTGGGCTCTTCTTCACTGATAGTTGGAGCCAGGGGTGGGTTGTACTTATCTTTACTACTGGTTTGCAACAGGGCTGTACGTGCACTCTTCTGCGCATGTGCAGAAGCATTTTGATGACGTCAGGGTCAGTGGGCAGAGCCTCCTGCCGGTTTTACTACCGGTTCTATAGATCCGGTGCGAACCGGGGCCAACCCACCACTGGTTGGAGCAGGTGAGAGAGGAATTTTAAAGATATTTGTTTATGACATTTAGATACCACCTTATGATATTCAGTTCATTGAGCTTCTAGCTATAAACTGAAATAAAAAATATTCGTCTATAAAAAGGATTTCAAATATCCAAAGGTAAAAGCTAATCATAAAAAATGAACTGGACAATTCCATTCTTAAGAAGGCAAATTGTAATCTATCGTGTGAAACCTGAGTGAACAGAGATATTTTCATTAACTAGACCACACAAAGATTCCATGTGAATTTCCCTGGAAAGAACAAGTTATTGCCAGCTCTCCTTTATGCTAGCGGAGCAAAGACAGGAGAAAGTGATAGATAGTATGCCACTTCCTTGTCCATGTTCTCACCCACCATTTCCTGTCGTTGCCTTCTTATTAATCCTCACTATATTTTTTGTTGAAGGTATTACTTTGGTCATGCAATTTTTAAACATATATAATTTTAAAACATTTCTGAAGGAAGAAAACATGGGAAAAAATAGGCAGTCAAATAATCACACTGAGATCAATTATTCTTGGGAGGGTTTGAGAAATTGGTCTTCTCTGTGAATCAGCCTATAAATAAATGAATCCAGTGTTGTTTTCCTTTTATTGAGGTCACCAAATCCAAGTGGAATATGTGTTGCTAGATTATAAATCCAATGCTGGATTAACCAAGATTTTTTTTCTCTTTCTCTCTCATTTATCATCTTTGCAATAAATAAGGTTTGTGAGAATATGCGACAAAATGCATGAGATTGAAATACATATTTCTTCAATGAATATTTCTATAAGGCAAATAAAAAAAGAGCTAGAGAGACACAGAAGAGGAACAGATATAAATTGAGCAAACAGCATTTAAAAAAGAATCTCACCAGACCAACTCGATGATTTCTGCCAATGACCTTAAATTTAGGTTAATCTTAACTTTTTAGACATTTGTCATGAAACTTTCAACCCAGTTTTAAATTGCATAAATCAGTTACCTTAGGACAAAAGGTAAATCCTTAAAAGAATCCAATACATCCCCATGTTTTCAATGAGAAATGCTCTTTTAGAAATACTTTAGAATGCACATTATTTATCCATTTATACAATACAAAAAAACTTATTAGAGAAATAAAATTTGGAAAAAATTCTTAAGAAAATGCATAGACACACTTGATATTGCTAGGAAACCATTGAATACATATCTTTGCTATGAGGCAGATTTTTTTATTTATTAATTTTTATACCACCTCATTATTTTGGCAGATGACAAAACAACAGTATATTAATAAAACATCCATGCTAAATGTACAAAATTAATTTAAAAATAAGATAACACAGATAAGTATAACAACAGATCCACCATGGCAGCCATAAAATCTGAATCACATAAAAATCTTGTCACCATCAATTACCAAACATTCTCTGAAGAACATTTTACCAATTTTTAAAATGTTAATCCTCAGATGAAGTTTGTTCCATATTGAAGGATCAGCTTCAGAGAAGTAGCATCCCTGTCTCCTTTCTTCTTGACTTCACAAACTTGGGAGATATTAACAATTATCAATGCCAAATAGACTAATCTGCCACATGCAGTTTCTTGTAAATTATCAATGCAGCACAAAACTTTGAAGAACACAGTGGCCTTTTAATGATGATTTGAACATGAATATATATTGCTGCTATATTAGGAAAGGCACCTATTTAATCTAACATGTTGTAGCCTAGATCATGCAGAAACCAAACAAATGCCTTCAGATGACTTAACAAAAGGAGAGAAGGGCAAAAAAGGTGTCTTTTATTATATTTCCCCACAAACAGTATTCATGATATTATGCCTACAATTCAGAATGTAGTATTTAACTATCATATATCACCAAATATTAATTCATTTGTCTATTTACCATATAAAACTATATAAAACCCTATACAATTTGATGTCCATCACCATATCTAATGAAGTAAATTCCAGATATTTTTACATTATGGTTGAAATTCAGGTTGTCAAATTTCAAGTATATTTTGCAAATATTAGGTTTGTTCTATGTTCAAGTTTCCAAAATTAACAGAAAAGAGCTACCTTAAAGTGGATAATGCTATCTCATATGAAATAAAAGTGTCAGACTATTATACCTATGGCATAGATTTTTTATTTAAATCCAGGACACTATTATAGTTTATTTTTCACAGAAATATCCAAAAACATAGAAAGGAGACCAAAGCACTGATAAAATAGTCCGTAAGTAGCAATTATCCAGCTGCCTTTTGGCAAGTCTAGTCTGCTCAATGCTTAACCTCCAACTTGATATGTGCAAATTGCTTTCCAGTAGTAATATATACATTCTTGATCAGAATAGGAAAAAAATAAAATGAATTTGCACCTGATCATTAAAGTTAGTGATTGAGATAGCTGGATTGATAGAACAGTTTTACTAAAACTGTTGTTCTCAGGAAGTTGATTTATGAACTGTGAATCTATCTTGATGCACTAGTATCTCTAAGTTTTCTGTAAAAGGAAGAAAGGGAGGCATCATAATTTCTTAGCTATTTCCATGCTCTGAATTCATGCACAACTAAAATAAGTCATTAGCAACTTGGAAATGTACATAATTATTTGTGATTTCTTTTAAAAATGTAGTTTTAGGTTTATTTTTATTTATTATTAAACAAATTTTATGGCCACCCAACTCACACAAGATGACTCTAAGCAGTGCATAATATTAAAATCCTACAAAATCCTACAACATAAAAATCCTGTCTCCCCACCCAACTCAATGACAGTAGCAAGTTGTCTATTATTGTTGGTGGGAATGTTGTGTTCTTCTTGGTAGAACCTTGAATAGGCTTTTGCTTACTATTTAATTGTTTGCATTGGTAGTTCCTTACTTTGGGGTATTATTTTCCTGTTTGATTGTTAGGCTAGTATTATTCCTGTTATTAGTCTCTTCTTATCAGGACTTGCTGGTGAGAAGGTTTTTTTGTGGTCTTAATGAAACATCTACATGAAAACAACAAAGTTTAGAAAGCACATGGTTACAAATATATACTGTAGGCAGTGAATAAAATTCAATCTAAGGCATTATCTGTTCATTTTCCTCTTTTGGGGCTGTGGTGTTATCCAATTTACAGCATTAATGAGCACCATTCTAGGACCAGACCAGCCAACAAAAGAGTATGTACCACGTAGAGAGTAATTTGGACCATATTCTGAGCAGATCCAGATAAATCAAGATATATAGCCAATATAGATATGGATATTTGAGTAAAGACAGTATGCAGTTCATGTGGAGACAGATTGAGAGGTAACCCATGTTGTGCCACTGATCAAAAGTTAGTTGTAGCCACTACCACTTTACTCAGTTTAAAATCAAAGGGAGGGAATAGAAAATCCACTAGGGAAACTGAGGGGGCATGGTATAGACATCATGTAAGTGGTTGGGAGGGGGAGACAATAGAAATGACCCTTCATAGGTGCTGTCATCATTTTACTACAGGAGAAAACTCAGAGCAAGCTTGCTTATGAACAATGGACAATAAGTTCCAAAGGAAGGAGATGACTTTGATTATTTCCAATCACAATAGAGAGGATTGGTGATTTAATGCAAGAGTTCTTCAGGAACAGGGGCATAAATGAAAATTCTGCTAAAAGGAAGACTGCTGTTTTCTTCCATTACTTATACCATTATTTCAACCTTTTTGTTGTTGTTCCTGGGAAGCAGATGGGGGGTGGGAGGGCAGAGAGGGAGGGAGGGAGGGAGGGAGGGAAAGAGAGAAATATAACTGAAGGTAATAGCTATGACTGAAGCAATACCACTTCCATCCATCTTGGGCAGCTAATCTTTCATTCCCCAATAGGAAGAGAAAGAGGAGGTTTCAGAGAGAGTGGAGAAAAGCATGTACTACCCTGGATGAACTAATAAAATAGGATCTGGTTTGTGCATGCTTCTGTGTGCCTGAAAAACAGGTAAAACCAAAACTGTAAGCATAATCTGTCAGACCTTGAATTGTCAGGAATGAATTTTGGGCGTCCAAGTTAAGACTATGCTCTTCAAACGACCATATTTTTCTTTCTTTCTTTCTTTCTTTCTTTCTTTCTTTCTTTCTTTCTTTCTTTCTTTCTTTCTTTCTTTCTTTCTTTCTTTCTTTCTTTCTTTCTCAGTTCCCCATGATGACTGCATCATACTGTGTTGCTGGTGACTGAGGTGCTGCTTCACCTTCTGCAATGTTGCTTGATCTTTGATTTCCTGTGAAGCACAATGAATCTTACATTAGACTGTTCAAAGTCAGGTGGTGCACCATCTGTTCCCAGGCTTGGAAAACACTGAGTAACATAGATCAACAGAAAGCAAAGCAACAGCTTCACTGGATTCATCAGAATATTCATATTCACACAGTGACAAGGAGGCAGATGACTTCATTTTCCAGCCTTGAAAGAGAGTGGGAGGGCTGCCTTTTCTTTTACAGCTTTTCTCTTAAACCTGTCCTGATGTTGTTACTATGTGTTTTGATATACTCTCTCTCTCTCTCCCTCTCCCTCCCCCCCTCTCTCAATTAAAATGCATTGGATATTTGATGAATACGAATAGTGTAATGAAATGTGTTAATGAATCTGATAATATTTGGGTTACAGGATGCTATAGGGATCATTCGACTTATGGTGCAAAGAATGTTTCATACAATGGCCCTTAAGGAGTTGTATGTGTGAGCTGCCACACAGAAGTTGCTGACAAGGAAAACCATAGAAGATAAAATAAACTGAACTATAGGCAAGAGCCTGTTTAAAACTAGTTATTCCTTTTCTTCTTGGTTTAAGCTTTTCCTTTTGCAGAGTTGCCCAGGGGGCCAGCCCTACCATTATATAGAGTTGTTGCTTCAGCAACTGATTTTGAATATGATAAAAACAAGGAAATAACTGTATTGATTATTCATGATAAAATATATTTAATATCTCAAGCTTGAAATGATGGGCTTGAATATTTGTGCTCCAAATATGGGGATTTTCAGATTTTATTCCCAAGCATAGAATTAGATGCTCAAAATAAAAATGTTTCAAGCTGCATTGTTTCAAGGATTCTGGGCTCTTTTGGAACACGATATAGATAAGCACTTTTGAGATTTGCATGTAGAGCTTTGCCTGGATCAATAATACAGCAGGGGCTGACAAACTCCTTATTTGATTTTGTTTAAACCCAGGATCTTGGGACTGGCTACTGTGGATAAAGTGAAAGTGATTATCAGGCACACAGTTGTATTTCAACTGTATTTTGGGAGAGGGAGGGTACATTTGCTATATAAATGTAAAGCTTGGAGTTTCAATGTCTTTTTTGGCAAGAATTTTGACCAACAATTTATGTCTTGTCTTCATAACATTTTCACTGTACTCTTGTCTGCTTACTATCTATCAATGTAAGCCACTACAAATAATATTTTTCACTCTCATTACATTCATTCAAAATAGCATTTTGAATGAATGTAATTAGTTCTATCAATTATCCCCAAATTTATGTCTGATTCTTCTGTTATGGCCTTTCACTGGAGTGTGACCAGCAAATACCACCAACCTAAGAATTCCTACACTCATATGCACCCATAATAATTTATTAAAAATGCGTACTTTCTGACTTTATATTTAAGCCCTTCATTCATAATTAAGCCTGTAACTTACTACCTTACATGCATGCATTCTGCTTTTCAAATGATTTTATTTCTGATCTATTATCATTCTTGCCTCTTAGTTCCACATCCACCTATTTTTTCCTTTCCTTTGATTATTCATTCCAAATTTATATGACATACTGTATCTCTCATTTTACAAGTCGGTATTTTTATATAATGGCTTTGTTACATGATTAATCTATACATACTGACTGCCATTCATGGCCATTGTGAGTTGAGGCTTTCACATAATGGTCTGTAATAATATAAAATAGATGCAGACTAGTCTCACTCATGTTTATGCCATATCAGCATACCTTGCTAAGAGTAAGGACAATTCCTACCTTTCTAACTTCCCATAAAGCTTTAACATAATTACTTGATGCATGTTTGTAGCCAATTTAACTAATAACTTTCCTCTTTCTCTCTTTCTCAGTCCAGCTATCATAGTGAAATCCTTATATTGGAGAAATCACCTTCTTGCTAAAATAATAGTATACTATAATTTCACCATTACAGTTAGTAAGAAAGACTTTTCACTGCAGTAGAGGTGAAGAAATCTAAAGTTTTCCATATAGCATGCTGAGTTATTGTCATTTTTTGCAAATAATTGGACAAATGCATACAATATTGGCAGGCACGTGGTGGTAATTTTTCCATTGAGTGAGGTCAAATAAATTTTGTACCAGTAAGATCTGTATTAGTTCAGAAGTCAGGATTCTGACTAGATTAGATTTTTCTTGTTCTCTGGTTGGTCAGCTGAAGTTGACCATAGGCTCATGGCTATATTCTCAGCAATTTGAGGTTGATAGAAGTTATAATGGTTACCTCCTGGCTTCAGGTTGGTTATGGAAGGATCGAGCAGTAAAAGCAGACTAGTGTGGCGGTAAACTAAGTTACTTAGTTTTTGTTTTATATTCTTCAGAACTATCCTTCCTTCCTTCCTTCCTTCCTTCCTTCCTTCCTTCCTTCCTTCCCTCCCTCCCTCCCTCCCTCCCCCCTCTCCCTCCCCCTCCCTCTCCCTCTTCCTCTCCCTCTCTCCTTTTCATAGCATCAGTTCAAACCAGACCGAAAAGGGAACATCCCCAGATCCCATAAAAATACATCCCAGTTCCTTTCCAATAACAAGTGAAAACTAGTATCCTTGCTAGGCTGGTATCAAATTATTTCTTTCTTGTTCAGCTCAGATAAAATCTATCACCTTCCTTCCTTCCTTCCTTCCTTCCTTCCTTCCTTCCTTCCTTCCTTTACATTTGGATCGCTTTCTTTTTTTCTGCCCTGAAATTTCTAAATCTGATGTAGGATTAAGCTGTACTTAATATGTTTACAGCCCAGAAAGTTATTTTTTTAGAAAAAATATGTGCAGGGATTGAAAGAGTACATATTGCCTCGCTGCAGAATGAAATGGACACCCAAATAGGCCAAGGACCACAGAAATAAAAGGCAATTTGCCCTGATGGCAATTATTTAAGAATGAGTACTGTTTTCCTCTGTCTTTTTGAAAATGCTGATACATACCTGGAACCAATTTGGCATTACCCTCTTCATTTCTTATTTCTTTGGACTATGGCTCTATAAAGTCCAGCCTCAACTGCATTACTGCTCTAAGTATATGCAGCATGTTCATTTATCTTACACATGAAAAGTGATGATAAATTGCCATATATTTTAAGCATTAAAGTAACTCTTTGAACCCTTTTGAAAGGGAAGAAAGTAGATGCCCAACAATATTTAGTCTTCTTTGCATCAAGTGAAGTTAAAAATCACCCTATTTGCACTTTGGTCTCTGAAAAACAGTCCTAGACAAATCACAATGATTATACTGCATGTGTCCATGTGTGTGCGTTAGACTTACAAGTGAATATTCCAAATAAGCTTCAAGCAGTTTCCTTCTGGGCTGTTTGTATACTTCTTTGAGATAGACAAATGTTGCCAAAACTGGCAGCCTCCCCTTGGCACCTTGCAGTGTAGTAACAGCAAAAATGTTACAATTCACAAAACAAACTCCACACATCTCAAATTGATATTGTATAACTCAGCACATTCCCAACAGCATGTGAAACTGAGAAATGTTGTATATTGTGCTGTAGATGTGTAGTCACGCTGTCTCTTTTCCTTGTTCCTCTCCCTCTTCCAAAAGAGATTTGACATATCTTGCAACTTGCTTTGAAGATTTTTTAATTTGACTTTTGATGGGCAACTTAGCATAAATAAAGCACAACCACACACTTGTTGAGAATAAGGATGCTTCAACTGAGGTTCCAAAAGAAACTCAAGTCTCCATAAAGGTAACCCCATATCTAGGATGAAATGTCCAGATCCCCTTCAAGAATTGTTACCAAAATGTAATTTTAAGAAAATGAAATTATTAAATCAGTTAAGTTTAACTTGAAGTAGTTTAAATGTAAAGTTCAATTAAGACAAATTTATTTATTTTTCCTGTCCTTACTTATGTGTTTGTCTTGGTCATACTTATTCCTAAATGTAGAGCATAGAACTTACTCTTCTTTCAAAGTTATTCACCCCTGACTATTTTCTTCATGGGTTATTGCTTTTTTAAACAGCCTGCACCGAGTCAGAAAATGATAGAAGATGTGCTGACATTCCTCATAATCTAGACTGGAAGGCAACAAAGCTAAATCAACTTCTAAGAGTAGCTAATTTTCTTCAATAAAATTGTGTATAGTTGAAAAGACAAACTTCTGTAGAAGAAACAAACATTATATTACAGCATATGTTGGTATGTTGCTGTGGCACGTGTTATTACTACTCTTTCTAGATAAACATTACTGCAAAAGATACAGACAAGATCACCACGTGATTTATTAAGTCAACCTTAATATAAAAACAGCAGAAAAATCCTGCCGGTTTAGTCCTCAAGTCTCTACTAATCTATTCAAGTTTTACTTGTGATTTTAATGCTTAATAGCTCATGCAACTTCTGGTTTAATTAGAGATCTGTGAGGAATGGATTCACTGGAGAGAAAACTCCTGTGTTCACTCCACCCACTAATTATCTGCCTTTTCTGTGACACAAATATTTGATAGTAGGAGTTACATTCTTGGAGAAAGGAAAAAGATGAGTACCTTTGATAAAATATAACATAAAATGAATGAATGCAGAAGGAACTGGTGAAAACATTTTAGTTTGGCTACACTGATCTATGAACCAGAAGGATAAATAAAAAGAATTACATAAAATGTATGCTGCCTGTTCTCTAAAATCATAATATGAACTTCTGTTCATCAAACAGGCAATCTTATGTTAAAAAAACAACTGGATTTATACTTTTGGTTTGGCTTATGTTTCAGCTAATGAGTTAAGCTGATTGAATTCTTAACGGGGTTCTTAAACACCCAGAAAGTAATTACTGCATATACCATAAATATAAAATCATTTTAAAAATTCTGCTTTGAACAATAAATACAGATAGTCCTCGACTTACAATGGTTTGCTTAGTGAAGTTATAATGGCACTGAAAAAAGGGACTTATAACTGTTTTTCACATTTATAACTATTGCAGCATCCCCATAGTCACATTCGGATGCTTGACAACTAATTCATATTTATGACAGTTGCTGTGTCCCGTGGTCATATGACCCCCTTTTGCAACCTTCTGACAAGCAAAGTCCATGGGGAAGCCAGATTCACTTAATAATCATGTTACTAATTTAACAACTGCATTGATTCACTTAACAAATGTGGTAAGAAAGATTGTAAAATGGGGCAAAATTAACTTAACAGATTTCTCACTTAGCAACATAAATTTTGGGCTCAATTGTAGTTGAAAGTTGAGAACTACCTGTAACCCTCAGTTTAAGACTTGAGGAAAGGAAAAAAATAGCATACAACAAGCAACATTTCAAAGTTTTAAAATATAATTGCAAAGGAATAAAATACATGAAATAGTGAAGAATAGTACATCAAACACTGGGGTCACACATCCTCCTGAGTCATAACAAGGTGATGTGGTTTTGATTTAGTGTGTTATGATTTATAAATATGGTATCTAGACTAATGTATTTTATAAACTATGTCAGTAAAGATAATTCAGCAAATCATGATTAAGCAAAACAACCTGGCATGATATACACTACAACTCTTATCTTTTGATTCCTTTGTTATCTGGCCAATTCACAACTTGTCAGTTTGATCTATACAGTCTAATGGAATTGATTTTTTTATGACATTCAGATAGAATGCAATCTGGAAAACAGGTCAAAAACAATGAACTAAACTTTTCTTATTCGGGTTATTGTGTATTACAGATTAAGTGGATTGTGGCAAATGTTAGGAACCAAAAATAAATGAAAAGAGGATATAGCATACTTCTTCATGGGGAAAAAAATCCTGAAGACAGTGAAAACAAGTACAACTTAGCAACATGTATGCAGTGTGTTTGAGGATACAGAAATCTAAAGGCATTCTAAAGTCAGGTAGGTATCATTCTTTTCCATATTCATTTAATTAGAGAAAAAGTGATTCTCTCAACAATACACACTTCCTTATGTATTTATTTATTTAACAATATTAATTGACTGCCTGAATCATTGAGAATTTGTGTGATCTATAAATATGCATATACGCAAGCCTGCTGTCTATTTGGCATTAAAAAGAAAGATGTGAGTCTGCATGAGATGGGAAGATGAACATCTGATTTGATAGCCAAAATGACATATGTTTGATGATGCAATAATGCAAATGTTAGGACATCTGAGTCAAGATGCAGCTTTTGCATGATTACATAATCATTTTCTCTCTGTGTCTCTTTTACACACACACACACACACACACACACACACACACACACACATATCTCATGGCTCTTTAACTCCTGCAACCCCAATATATGATAGTGATGTAAAGAATATCATTTTGATAATGGCTGAAACAAAATTTCGTACCTTTTTAAAAAAAATACCTATTTTGGTTAGCACTTGATTTAAAGTTTCATGCAAGTTCCATGAAAACTCTCACTAATATGTAGATACAGTTTATTGTTGGTTTGTTTCAGTGGTGGGTTGTTCCCGGTTCTGTCCGGTTCTTTAGAACCGGTAGTAAAAGCTGCGGGAGGCTCCGCCCACCCGCCTGGACGTCATAATTGACGATCTGTGATGTTCCCATTGTGAACCGGTAGTAAAGGTAAGTAGAATCCACCCCTGGTTTGTTTTTTTGTTTGTTTATCTGTGCTACTTCAGTTACGATAGACTCTTTTGGGTTAAACAATGTTACACATAATACATGGACAATATTACACATAATACATGGACTGTAAGACATAGTAAGGCAAGGAAATTAAAAAGTCATTAAAAAAGAAACAGCTGAATCTAATTAATACAAACCATTTACTATACTAAATTATCTTTACTTTCACAACATCCATGAATGCTTTTATATTACTCTTTAGTTTTTAAATTTTTTAAATTCTTTCTTTCTGGGAATTTAATCAAATCTACTAATCTTTCTTTCTGAGAATCTAATCTATTTAATTACAAATTTCTCAGTAGTGTATTCCCTTCATATCTCTGTTTTACATCTCTATCATCATTCATTTTGTTTATAATACAAACTACCTAAATTTACTTACTTTGTCACTCACTTTGAATTCCATTTACATAAATTCAGCTTCCATAATTCTTGACCTAGTTCTTGTTTTACCATATACAGTTTTACAGCATTTGAATTCTCTTGACAACTCTCACCTCCATATGATATCATGAATAGAAGCATGCCCTTTTAAACAGCTATTTTTGTATATTTTGACATCCATTCCCCAAGTCAGTGTATTGCTTTTCTTCTACGTTTCCACCACAACTTAAAATGATTATTTCCCCCATCTTTACTAAACATTCTATAAGGGTACGCTTACTTACTTGCTCTCAGATGTTGGCGTATAACTTAAATTGCATTTGGTTATTTCACTTTCCCTGTCAAATGCAGTGATTTACTTTTCAGATCCATTTTCTTCCTGCATTAGACAATATACAAGAACTAATGTTTGCTGAAATTCCTTCAGGTTGTCAGCTAACAACATGGCATCAATAGTAATGAAAGCTTTATTCATATACACAACCAACCCATCTGTACTATCGCCATGAATATTCCCAATATATTCAATGGGTAGCACATATTGTGCTATTACCCCTCTTCCAACATTGAATTACTTGTTAAGCATTCCATTTGCATCACTTAAATAACTTTTCTTCTTGTCTACAGAATCACTATTTCTCCCAAAATGTATTTCTGATATTTTTCATTGCCATCATTAACTGCATAGGATGTTATCTTTGTACAGTTTAAAACCATCTTTTTATTTCCTTCAAAAGCTCTCTTATTTTCACATCTGGAGGAGTTATGGAGAATGACTCTGTAAAAGCAGAGCCAATGACTGTGGCAAAGACCAAAAGAAATGATGAGAAGACCAGTTTCTTGGAACATTTCTGGATGAGAAGCGGATGAGAAATCACCCACATGTTCTTGCAAGGAGACCATAACATAGTATTTTTCTGTGGGTTTGAGCATTGGGAGTTGACAGACTTAGCTATTTTGTTTGCAACCATGGTGGAGACTTTTAAAGGCTCTAAGATAACAAACCTCACTTTCTAATCACTTTTGGAAATTGCTTATTAACTACTTCTAAGCTATTAGAGTGCTTTGGAATGACAAGTATGAAAATATCAGGTGAGTCTGCTTTTAATCCTGAATGAAAGAAAACTTTAATTATAAGCTTAAGAATTTAAAGAATCTGAAATAAACAATGCTATTAAGGATTAAGGAGCCAAATAAAATTGGAATAATGAAACTTTTACAATAAGAAAAACACGTTTACACATTTGAAAAGTCACTGTGGTTGTTACCAAGTTGCACCTATAATCTTATACCTTAATTTCATTCCACATATTCATCAACTCATCTCCATAAAAATTAGAACATTTTAATTTAAACCTGTTACAATCTTCCTATTTCTTTTTACTTCATAGCACTTAACGTATCTACTTTACTTTCATTCATTTCATTTGAAAATTCATGCTCTTCACAATTTACCTTTTCTTATACCAAGACATAATTTTCCACATGATATGTATGTCCATAGCTGTTTAGTAATACCAACTTTAATTGTGTATAACTTTGTATACTGTACTCTACTAATAACAAAGACAATGCTAATCAGTTTAGGTACATTCTGATCAATAAACCAGAAGTGCAGCCAAAAGGCAACTGTGTCTAAGTCTGTTTGTACACACTAAGATCATTAGTATATAAATCATATATGTGCAGAGAATTGACATATACTCAGCATAAATTATAGTATATTTTGTGTTTTATTTCTGTACCTGCCATATTTATACATATATGTATATGGTTTCTAATATATCAAAACATTGTTCAGAAGAGTTTTGTTTTCTATTTCTGTTTTGATTCTGTCAATATTTCTCAAACACTTCACTCATAACACACTCACCCCATCCAATTGTTTAATGAATGAACAGTCTGAAAGCTATCCAATGCTGGAATATCAAGTTTGGCAGTTTACCCCTTAAACAAATATGGATCATTTCAGATCTTATAGAAATTTCCATTAAGCAGACTGGATTCTTGAAAATTAACCATCATTACAAACAATGTGCATCAAGAAAACTATTTTTTTAATAGTGACCACTTGCCAGTGCCTCAACTTTTCATCTCTGAGTTGAAAAAGCAATTTATGAGAAGCTGCAATATATGGCCAGGACTGATTAGGGATAGCTTTCTTTCCCTGGTCTGTTGAAAAGTGAGAAGCTTAATCAATATTGAAATAGCTTCTTCCAAAACAGTACAGATGTTCTGAATAATTTATCTTTATTTAACCAATATGGTTTCTTTTTCTAGGGGGTTTTTATGTTCTAAAATTTCCATTGCCCATCTGTAAATGACTTAGTTGTAATGCTAGAGTCAATGCAACTGTTTTATAAAATCATGCCTCTGCTGTTTGAGAAAATAAAAAAAAAAACTGGTAGTGTTTCCCTCTCCCTCACTCATAGCTTTATGAAACTCTCTGAAGAGGATGACAATGTTTACTAGATCTGTATTTTGAAGATGTTCTCCTACAGCCTTGCTATTTTCTTTCTTCTTGTGCCCCCTTTTCCCTCCTCATGCCCATGGATAAGCACTCAGAAAGAAAATCCATGGATGCAGTCTTATGCATATACAGCTGGAAATAATTTCTATTGGAAAACATAAGAGTTACATTGAAGTAAACATAAAAGGATTTGGCTTAGATTTGAAAGTTCATGTTCATGGGAAGTATAAGTTTATGGGGAAAGTAAAACTTAGAGAACTTTCTGACAGAATTTTCCATCTTAAAGCATACTAATAGCAGAGTGCCTTCTGATGGTCTTGGGACTTCTAATATGTTTACTTGGTGGCAACAGGAACCAGACATTACTATCAGAGGTGGTATTCACTTACCTTTGCTGTTGGTTCGCAAATGTGAGCGCGCGTATCTCCCCCATACATGCGCAGAGCCTTCTGCACATGCGCAGAGGGTCAAAAACAGGATGTGATGAGGTCCCGGCGGGTGGGCGGAGCCTCCCACTGCCGGTGCTACCTGATCTCGTGATCTGGATAGAGCTGGCTGAATTTCACCACTGATTACTATGATCAGCAGCTACAGCTATGTTTGGATTAAATAGATTCTCTGGACTCTTTTCTGTTGAGATTTTGGCTAGGACATAGTATTGATAGTGCTTTGGTTATCTTGGTGGATTTACAAAGCATATTGGAGGAATGTGGTCATTCTAATTTTCCTGGATTTCCTAGCTTTCAATGCAATCAACTATATTATATTTGACTCATATACAGGAAGTGATTCTGGGGCTATTTTTTGAGATGCTGATCCACAGAGTTCTGTCTTTTCTCCTATGCTGTTAATATGTCTGGAGGGAGGTAGTATCAGTATGCTGAACATACAGCTTTATTACCCATGAGCATAAAATACCGAAGAAACAATCAGCACTAATCCTTGTGTGTTTATATAGTTTGAAAGTTTGAAAGTTTATTAGATTTCTATACCGCCTTCTCCTGAAGGACTCAGGATGGTGTACAGCCATATTAAAACACATAGATTTATAAAATTTAAAACCAATTAAAATTGAATATATAAAATTGGCCCTCAATTTAAAAACACATATACACCCATTTAAAATTTATATTAGACCAGTCCGGCTTGTTGGAACAGAAGGGTCTTAAGGGCGCGGCAAAAAGTACGCAGGTTGGGGCTAAGATGAAGCTCTAGAGGTAGCTCATTCCAGAGGGTTGGTGCCCCCACAGAGAAGGCTCTCCCCCGGGTGTCACCAGTCGGCATTGTTTGGCCGACAACACCCTGAGGAGCCCCTCTCTGTGGGAGCGTATCGGCCGGTGAGAGGTTGTTGATGGCAGAAGGTGGTCTCGTATATATCCCAGTCCTAAGCCATGGAGCGCTTTAAAGGTGGTGACCAACACCTTGAATCACACCCGGAAGACCATCGGGAGCCAGTGCAGCTCGCGCAGGAGGAGTGTTACATGGGTGTGCCGAGTCGCACCCATAACCACCTGTGCGGCCGCATTCTGGACCAGTTGGAGCCTCCGAGTGCTCTTCAAGGGGAGCCCCATGTAGAGAGCATTGCAGTATTCCAGACGGGACGTGACGAGGGCATGAGTGACCGTGCGCAGAGCATATAAAATAGAAAGCCATTTTATTTTTAAATTGTAATTAAGATTTAAAATGTTTATTCATTCATGAATATATACATATAAACATATATACAAGTAATTTTAAGGTTGCTATTTATGTCCAGAATGTTCTGTTAGAATCACTATGTAGTGTAATGTAGCCCAGAATGGCAGGAGGGAGGGCATTTTCCCCAGAAAATGAAGAGACAGTGGAGTTTGGTGTCTTTGGTAAGCAGGAAAAGGGAGAAGGCAGATTCCACACTCCAGCAATTCATAGAATATATCTATATCTACAGTTATGCAGATAGTTGCTTTAATCTGGCAAGATTTCTGTCTATAAGAAAACACAGTAAAGAAATTACTTAGAAGTAACTCCATGTGATATTCTTGATTACTTGGCCTGACACACTATGAAATTGTAGCTTTGAGCAGTCACACCCAGGAATCACAAAAGCTATATGTAGATGCTGCAGTTTGATATAGGGATTAATTCCTATTTCATATATCATCTAATTATATACAGTTTCTATAAGGCAATTTTGAAGATGATTATATAAAGGAATTGTGAGGTCAATGCATGGTTTTTTGTAGTGAGAGTTTCAGCTTTGAAAATATCATTATGTCTAAGTTACACTCTTCTTGAGTTGGTCTATATGTTATGAAATCAAAATGATTAGTGCAATTAAATCTCTGTTTTATGTTTTTATATGGAGTAGCTTCACTGTCATTGTCATTTTGACTTTTTTGACCATACACCACAGATATTGATATTCCTTAGCCTTTGTTATTTTATGTTCTCACATTAAATCAACTGTAAGTAGTTGAGTTTTGCGATAAAAATGGGAGGAGAATAGGAATATAAAAGCTTCCATCACATGTCATTTTCCAACCAATCCTAAATAATTTTATATTTATCAGGATGAATCATTCTGCAATTCCTGCTTTTGGTCTTGAAAATGTCAATGTCCATTATTACTAATAATTAATAGTGCTTTTGTAATCTAAATTTTTGTGGGTATAAGTAAAGTGCAGTTTGGCATAACAATGTTGTATTGTAGATACTGTTGAGAGCTATATATTTTCAGAAGAATCAATGATAGGTAAAGCAGTTTCTTAACATCAGCTTAGCAAATTTCAATAGTTTTTGAGGGTTGACATAAGAATAATCAAATAAAATTAATAGTTATGTTAATGTGGAGCTATCAAAAAAAGTCAAAATTGAGCTATGAGCTTGTGATCAAAGTCCTATATCTTTTTAAAAGAGGGACAGAACTTCAATCATGTTGTCACAATCTTGAGGTTTTTTTTGTAAGTTTTTGTTTGATTAACAATCACTACTGATTTTAGATGATACTAATTATTGGAAGTGATTTATAAACCACTCTAAATATTGCACTGTTATTTTCCAATGTGAACCTGTAAGATGTGCACATGGTTTTTACAGGGTTTTACTCAGGCATGTTTTGAATATATTGAATATACTAATATTTTGAAATATTAGTCCAACCCAAACATAAGTACTGAAAGAAGAATCTAGTTTTAATATTACAATTGCAAAGAACAGAATAGTGTTTTCCTTAGCAATATTGTATGTGACAATATTGGTGTATGATGTTACTTCTCCTTCGAAAAACACAAGCAGATTTCAACCTATTCCCCAAAGCACCTAAATATAGAATAAGGAGCAATGGATGGAAACTAATCAAGGAGAGTATCAACCTAGAACTAAGGATAAATTTCTGATGGAACAATTAATCAGTGAAACAACTTGCCTCCAGGAGTTGTGGGTGCTCCAACACTGGAGGTTTTGAAGAAGAGACAACCATTTGTCTGAAATGGTACAGAGTCTCCTGCTTAAGCAGAGGGTTAGACTAGAAAACCTTCAAAGTCCCTTTAAATTTTGTTATTCAAGATTGTTCCTAATGAAGAGTGGTAGTTGCTGTGAGCTTCTGATCAGGAGGGAACTATCTTTTGTGGCAAGGCAGCACAGGGAGCAAGACATAGTTGCAATATTGCTGCATGTCCTTGTATTATTTTATAACCCAGGGGAAGATTGGAAAAATAAATTATGTAAAGCACGTTGATGTGTATGTCTGTTTATCAACAGGGTAACTTTTCAAGCAGAAAACAGAATGGGACCAAATGTGGTGTGGTAGGAGAAGTTTGCAAAAGAATAATCACATCTGGAGAAAAATATGTTTTAAAAAGCCCTCCCAAGACATTTCTCTGGGAGAGGCACCTTGGAAGAAGCTCAGAAGTTATGTCCCATTTTTACCTTTCATCTGGTCACATGATTCACAGGAATTGCTAATAAAGAATTGCCAACACCATACTCTCATGCCTTACTATGTGCTTTATACTTGGGGTAGTGATGATATATAATAGTTGCATTAAGCCTAGGACACATCTTTAACACATCTGTCTTAGTGCCTATTTGAATTAAAACATGTATTTTTAAAAGCCCCCCCCCAAAAAACCCCTCAAGTTTAGTGCAAAGAAATACAGTGTCACAAGCAGAATGGTTCCTATGGTAGCTAACCCTATATTGCATCACAGATAGAATTTAAAACACTTAATTCATTCGTTTTAAGTACTGATAATTGCTGTATTAGAGATTTCAGTATGGTCTGGGTTAAGTATGTG